GCACTTGCGCTGCTGGGCGCCGGCGACACAGGCCATGACGGCGGCGTCGTTGAGGTCGTAGCGCGGGGCGCCGGCGGGAACGGGCGTGTGTGTCAGGGCGGCGATATCGACGCGGGCCTGGCGCGGGGCGGCGTCGCCGGGTGAGGACGGGAGCAGGACCGACATGTTGGGGACGTAGGCGTTGTCGGACATGGAGACGTCGGTGGCGGAGGGGGACGAGGCGTCGCGGCGGTCTGCGGCCGCTGTCGCCGCCGCTGCTGCTGCTGCTTCGTCGGCCGAGGAGGCGAGGGTCTGGCGGACGTGGAGGTAGGACTGCACGGCGAGCTGGATGACGAGCAGCAGGCCGAGGAGCTCGTAGCCGGCGCGGTCGGGGGTCGAGGGCACGGTGCGGGTGAAGAGGTAGCGGAAGCCGAGGAGGCGCTTGGCGAGCTCGTAGTAGGTGCCGGAGAAGTAAAAGGTGGCGAGGGTCAGGGCGTGCAGGGGCGCGGCCGAGGTGTAGGTCGGCAGGTGGGCGAGGAGGTAGCGGCACACGGCGGCGTCGCGCGGCCGGCCCCTGTTGCGGGCTGTGTGCAGGCGGCCCTCGAGGTAGAGGCGCAGGCGGGTGCGCAGCGAGGGCAGGGCGCGGGCGCCGAGGTGCGGGAGCAGCACGCTCGCGAGGATGTAGGCGGCGCGCCGGGACAGCGCGGGCAGACGGGCGGCGCCGTGGCGCGACGTGTCGACCTGGATGACGTCGCAGTATTCCTCGCCGAGCGTGCGGTTGCCGACGAGTGTCGTCAGCGAGAGGTAGAGCGTCTCGGCAAAGGCGCGCGTTGTTGGCAGGTGGGCGTGGGCGGAGCGGGCGCCGAGGAGACGGCGATGAATGTCGGAGAGCGTGTTGGAGAGGGTGCCCTTGAAGTAGGCGTCTTTCTGATGGGCGCGTATTATGTCGGGTGCCGCGGCGTAGGGGTAGGGAAATGTCGATGATGTCGTGGTCATTGTGAAGGAGGGGCGGGCAAGAGATGCCGCGGTCTGGGGGTGTGTGTGGACTCAGGTAGCCTTGGAAATATCAACCAGAAACGGAATTCAGAAGAATATCAGGTACAGTTGGAGTTTGGATTGTCGCGGCAGTCCCTTGATAGTTGTTGTTGGTGCCCCGAGGGTGTATCGCCAGAGTTGGAGTGGTGATGTGATGTTGCTTCCATGTTGAACCTCGGTGGTGAGGTGCCTTTAGCTTCGTCTTGCCCCGGCACTCGGCTCACATGCTTCAGGGGAGCTGTGGCCAATCACAGGGGCTGCGCATTGCTGGCCACAGAACCCCCTTTTGCAGCTGGTGCCGGCTGTGGGACACAAGGCTGACGTACCCCCTTATTGCCCCACTGTCTGTACTAGGTCCAGGCCTATCTGTACTACAGGGAGACGTTGCCAACTGCTGTACCTGCTGAATCCCCTGGATTTATTTGTTCATCTTCGACGTGGCCACGCGACCTCGACGTCGACCTTGACCTGCATCTCCTCCCCCGCCGCCCTTCCTCCCGGCCCTGTGCCATCCTCTCCTTCTCTCTCGATGATCGAACAACCAACGACCAGCCATGGACGGTGACCCCAAGGTCGAGTCAGGCCTAGACTCCTTCAGCCTGACCTTTCCCCTGCCATATCGCGTTGGCTTCATTATCATCCTGGGTACGTCAGACATGGCCATGAGCTCCCC